AAAGGATGAATTTGAGAGGAAAGTATAATATATAATTTTTTCTTGTTTTTTTTCAAACCTTTTTTGTAACCTTTTTTTTTTCTTAGAAAACAGTCTCTGTCTAAATTAATTAGGGAAATGGCCAGAAATGATGTCAATACATTTGTTGTGTCGTGTCTTCATCACCTTATAATTCGTGTGATATCCTTGGTTCTTTTTATGTGTTTTGTGTTGGGTTTGTATTTTAAACATTCTCTAAATACCACCACCAATGTATTGTGAATTTTTGGAATCACAATTAATTTTGTTATTTTCTTTTGTATAGTTATTAAGGATATCAAGATTAAATTTATTGGATGCCTGATTTTCCGCTCACGTAACGTTTTAAAGCGAAACTGATTGTTTTGAATTCACATAACGTATCTGAAATTATGTTGCATCTATTATTTATTTTTTAATTTGTTTTTTCGTTTTCTTTAATTTTTTTTTATTTTGTGTGTCTTACTTATTCGAGATATGTTGTTATTAGTTTTCATTTTTTCAAAACTCAAAATCAGTCATCGTCAGTTCTGTGGAATTTATATATTATACTTTTTTTTGGCAATCATATTGAGTAATATAGACTGATTGTGGTGTATTTTTGGTAGCTTTGCTTTATTTAGAAAGCAGTTGTCCAATAAAACGTGTGCCTAATATCCATGTTCTGTTGTTTTTGGTTTGACCTGAGTGGCCATTATTGTTATAATTCCTAACAGTTAGCAATTTAAATCTTATGGATCTTTTTGCTCTCAATAATTTAGGTAAAAGATTGACCGTACATTAAGTCTGAAATTGTTTCTCTATCAAAGATCTGTTGCCCTACATATTGGGCAATTTTTCTTTGTATAGAGCCAGCTCACAATACATTGGTGGTGGTAGATATGATTACATGCCAGATTGTTGATATCTTGTCTTCCTTTGAATGTTTGTAGACAGATTGTGCATTCCTCATTTTCTTCGTCAGAAGTTGGATTCCTTTTAGCAGCCTCTAGACTGGCTATTAGAATGTCTGTTTCCATCCTTGATCTTACATGGAAGCTGTTATCTGTAATCATGAAGAAGATATCAATGTTCTTACCTATATCAGTTTGGGTTGATATTTGGACAGCGTTGACAAAGTGGAGAAAGTATGCTGTAGTTCTTCTTGCTTCCATCTCTTCTATTTCATGATAAGTTAGAAGACATTCAATGTTTCTTCTCAAGGTTGACTGTGTTGTTGATATCCCGTTTCTTGCATATGGTATATCTATGATGATGTCATCTTGCTCTGTGTGTGGCCTTTTGATGATTATGTGTATTGTGGTGGTTGTGTAGGTATTAGAGATATGTGTTTCATAGGAGTAAGAATATGTTATGCTTTGTGGATCTCCCATAGTTTTTTATGGTTTTTCTCTTTTTGGTTTTTCTGTTTCTGCTTTAGTGCGTTGGTGTATTTATAATATTTATTTTTTGTTTCTGCCTTTTGGTTTTCATTTTGACCACGGTTGTTTTTTGGGAGTTTGGTTCTTGGTTATTAAATGCATTTCATTCGTTTAAGAAGTTGGTCAATCAAAATTTGTTTTCTACGTTATAGTTCAGTTGTGGTGTTTAATTATATGTATATATATATATAATTATGTATTCATATTAGGTTTTGTTTGATGTAGTTGTTTGTTTTTTAACGTGTATTGAAATTGAATCTCCAAATCAATGATTGGTGGTGTTTTAGGGTGATATTTGGGATCCTTTTTTAAAAAAGAATCAAAGAGATAAAGTTGGAATGGTAATACGTTTCGTTCTTCTGGTGACTAAATTTATTAAGGAATTTAATATTTAAGTTAGTGGATCCCTAACTTGACGCTCTTGTAATGGTTTTAAACAGATACAAACGTTTAAAATAATAATTGATAAATCAAAAATCGGATTAGCTATATATTAAATATATTTCCTGCAATCATGATGGGAAACCTTTTATCAAAATCATGGAACGCAGATAGATATCATCCATCATAAAAAAGTCATAGAGAGTTTTAATCGTTAGTTTAAATTCATATAATTACGCAAAATTTTTAAAAATAAATTACAAATCGATATATAACTGAAGGAGAAGAAGAAAACAGGTCCTGTGCGGACATTGATATTCAGATTAATATAACTATAAGAAAGTGCACGTAATTATTTTTGGGAATTTATGGTGTTGGTTCCTCGTATTTAGTATTCTTCCGGGGACGCTTGTTTTCATCGGTTTCTTCACTGCCAAGGCTAGTCTTTTTGTTTTCCTAGCAGCACTGAAGTTGTATTCATCCACTTTGACTTTGAATATGGATGTCTTGGCAATTGCACCATTCAAGCTTTCTGGGAGTGGTATGTTATCTCCAGCACCGCCAACCCCAACAGCCTGCAAAAAAAGAGGTAGATGCAGTCTGTTGATGTTTCTTATTTACTTTGGATTAAGAAATGAAGTTACTTACGTCGACGTAGTCTTCAACTATCTCTGCAGCTTTTCTCCCAATTAGCTGAGTTCCAGCATCATCGAGGAGAACAAACGTGGCTTTGTTGTCATTGTCGGAGACGGATATCTCGACCCGATACCTGTGTCTCAAAATAGCAATATGAATATAATTAACATATATATTTAATTATGTATTCATATTAGGTTTTGTGTGATGTTTTTCTGTGGTTCTTTGGGCTTTCTACTTACTGCAGCAGAACTTTGTAGTGACATCGGTTGAAGTTTAAATTCGTAATTTTTTCGTTGGGTATATTGTGTTTTGGAATTTATATAATCTTTGTGGTTGTAGCTGACTATTTTTTTAACTCGTTAGACTTGATTGTTTTTATGCTGTGAAGGAGGAGAAGAGCATTTTCTTCTTTGATAATTTTATTTTATTTTATCTTAATCTTTGTTCTACCATTTGTGGGTTTGTATATTTTATTTTGTTGTATTTATATTTCACCTTAATTGTAAACGACAATTGACAAATAATAATATTGTTTGCAACGAAAATACTTTCTTGTCATTGTGTAATTATAGAGCCAAAATGTATAAGTAACTGCTCTGAGAATGTCTATATTACGATACAATAATTGTTATTTGAAGAAAACAAACACGAATAAGAACAAATTGTAGTACTGCTCTAAGTATCTTGTCCTGAAACTCCTGGTATGATATGAATTTTGTAGCATAAAGACACCTGTTTAGAAAACCAAAATCTTTGTTTTTCCATGTTCTAATTTATTAATTTTTGTAGTGAATAGCTTGAGTCACTTTTAGAGGTGATAGAGAATGAGAAAGTGTTTGGAAGTTTTTGCCCTCTTTATTCTTGTTTATGAGAAAGATGAACGTTAGAAGTATACACAAATGGCATAAGAAATTTATATGGAAGTGTAAACAGAACTATTAAACTATTTATATCATGAAGACATTTAGGAGGAAGTTCAAAGATACCAGTGTAGAGAGCTTGTACTGGAGATCGGCAATGCAAACAGTAGTCGTCTTGGCATCTCTTTCATCCTAATTAAATAGGCATAATTAAGAATATATCACATTTTGTTGGTTGGTAAAGATTTATGAATGTGTCTGTTTCACTTACCTTCGTAGTTTGTGAGGCCAGCATAGATTTCTTTGTAAACAATGTTTTTAACTGCTTCTTTTGATGTATTTTCTTCTTGAACGATAGTTAGCCCTTTCTTTGAAGTAACTCTGGACAAAGCAACATATAATTGTCCATGAGTGAACACCGGTTTTGGCAAGTATAATAGAACTGATTTTAAGCTCTGTCCTTGGCTTTTGTTGATTGTCATAGCATAACAGATTCTTATTGGGAATTGTCGTCTTCTTAGAGTGAATGGGTGCCTTGAGTCTGGTGGGGATAAAATTATTCTTGGTAACAATACTCTCTTACCAACATGACTGCCTGTTATTATTTCACCCTCGATAACTCGATCACCCATATATGTTACAATAAGCCTCGTTCCATTGCACAAACCTTCCTTTTGATTGATATTTCTGAGCAGCATTATTGGCACGCCAATTTTCAAACAAATCTTATGGGAAGGCAATCCAGGGAACTCCAATGAGTTTAGATATTCCACAGCATACAATGTTTCATTTTGCGGTGATTTTGTATCTGTTATTGCAAAGCTATCTGAACTAAGATACTCCTTGGACTCTCCTTCTACTTGCGATATCATGTATGCATTGATTTCATCAACAGTCTCATTTCGTGGCGTGAGAATGGCTCTTTCTGTGTAGTATTCTCTACTTCTTTCCAAGTCATTATGATTGCCATATGTTGCCTCTATGATTTCTTTTATTGTGTTTCCACTGGTTTCTTTTATAAATTGCTTGTCAACCACCACCATCTGCCCATCATCTGAAATGTCATGACTTGTTTCATTTGTAGGGGCTACTCCGTCCCCGACTCTTAATACCCAATTAGCAAAATCTCCATTGGAATCTTCCAGTCTCATATTTTTTTTCAATATATATTTGTAGCAAGAATCCCACAAATACGATTCGCTAATAGATGCCATGACTGTATCTGCCCGTGTGCCTTGTGGTATAACTGGTAATATTTTCCTGAAATCTCCTCCAAGAAGAACTGTTTTTCCACCGAATGTTTGGTCTTTTGCTGTGGGATTTTCAGTAGCCATTATGTCTTTCAAAGTTCTGTCCAAAGCCTCAAAAGTGTGTCTATGTGCCATTGGTGCTTCATCCCAAATTATTAGATCTGTTTTCTTGATTAGTTCTGCAATCATTGTGCTTGGCATTATGTGGCACATCGACTGTTGAGTAACATTAAATGGAATCTTGAACCGTGAATGGGCCGTCCTACCACCAGGTAGAAGCAGTGCTGCAATCCCTGAAGATGCCACTGGCAATACAATCCCTTTTGTTGATCGTATCTTTGATATAATTGTCTTGTATAGAAACGTTTTCCCTGTGCCGCCAGGTCCGTAAACGAAGAAAAGCTTGCCACGTTGATTTTCAATTGAATCCATCACTGCTTATATATTGTTCTCTGCTCGGGGTTTAGCTGTTTAAAAAGGGCTTCATGCTCCTCTTTCTGCTCAGCGGTACTGTATTTCATTTCTTCTTTCCATAGTGTATTCCCTATCTCTTTCAAAAGCATTGGATCTGGCTGTGGCATGCCTTTAAACTCTTGTAATGTGCGTTCATGTTGATGCAAAATCTTTTCCACCTCCAGCAACGTGTATTGTTCTAGCTCAACATCTCCTAAGCTTAAGTTCTTATGTGTGAAAACTGCTTGTTTCCTGTATGTGATATCTTCGCTTAATGATTTCCAACAATGTTTCCAGAGCTCTTTAGGATTACTAACCTCACAGTATATAAGCAGTGTTACAAACATTTGTCGTAATTGAAACGGTGTTGCCCATGTATTTGTTTCTACCATTGCTGCATGCCATTCTTTGTCACTGTCCAGTAAACCCTTTGTGTAGCATGCTGCTTTGTAGTCTAGATGCAAGATGTTGTCAACTGTTCGCAGTTCTTCAAAACTGGTTACTCCCCTTACCTCAGTAAGTATTATCCTTAAATAGTATAGATCCCCTGAGTTTGGATGTATTGTAACTAATCTGCCGATGGCTTCCCTTCTTTCACGGTCCGTCCATATCTTCAAAGATTGATCCCATACAAAATGTTCTGGTATTTGAACGTATGTCCATTTCCAAGCCTCTTCTGATCTTTTGTTTAGCTCGAAATACTCTGTCAGCATAGTTTTGTCAATCCCTGGTCTCCCCAAAACACGATCCAGATTGTCTGTGTCTTTGTAGGTGACATTTTGCTGTCCAGGCAAATGGATGATTAGTTTTTGTACGGAAGGCTTTCGTTTGTGAATGTGGTAAGCAAAAGTCCTCCACATTGCTTCGTGTGCTGATAAGTACCGACAATCTAGGTACTCTTGTATCTCATTTCTCGGCTTCTTGGTTTTACCTTTTCCCTCGACGCTTGAACCGGAATCATTTCCCTTCTCAATAACTACGGTGGCCTTATCAACTCCTTTAGTAATGTATTTGAATAGGTACTTTATTGCAGTTGTTCTGTTGCACCACTCAACATTAATGTGCGCCTTATACTTTTTCAGAATAGCCATGTTATGCGGGATAACATATCTATTATCCAACCTTGTGCTCTCTTTAATGACATAATCTTTGTCTAGCTGGCGTCGACGATAAATTATGTATCCGGATTTATCGATCGTTGTCTGATCTGTAAAAGGGCGTGGATATTTTTTTGTACAAACCTGTTTCTCCATGCACGGGGATCGAGGTCTGTCTAATCCACACGGACCATGCATCATGTGTTTTGCTACCTGTTCATACCCTTCTGGATCTTTTTCTTTATTGGGCAGTTCTGCTGAAATGATTGCATCTACATCTTCAGGTTTTGGAGTTTTAGTTGTCTTTCCAAACCATAGTAGCAAATGTGCATGTGGTAGACCTCTCTTTTGAAACTTGATTCTGTGGATAACTGGAAAATATGTAGAATAAGTTAGGAAATATTTTTAGTTCCATTGGCAATGCCTTTGATATAATTATGTATCATTTATTATGATTTAATATAATATATATGTATAAATATAAATAAGGAATGTTGTGCTATTAGAATTGCCAGCATACCAGCAGTGTATGGTTTGAAGAAAGTTCCTTTCTTTAAATCTTCCAACAGCTCGTCTAACTTCATTTTGAAGACGCGACACTGAATATCAGGTCTATCATTGGGAGATGCACCACCATATGCTGCTAGATGGTCTTTTATCTCTTTCCAATTTGGATTAGCTGTCATTGTGATAAACAAATCTGGATTTCCATATTGTCTACAGATTGCCATTGCGTCATGATATTTTTCAACCAGATAGCAAGGTCCCCCAGTAAAACTTGGTGGCAAGATAAATCGTTTTCCTATTTTTTTGGCATCTGTGTCACCTTTTTCTACAGCATCACATACATTATTGTAAAGATCAGCTCTGAGTTGGGTTTGATTGTTTCTGGCCCAGCGAAGTCTTTCTTGTTCAATAGCAGTATATGCATCTACCACGTATTGATGAAGAAGGCGACCTCCCTTTACTATTTTCATTCCTTCTTTCAAACGTGTCTGGATTTGATAAGCGTAAAACTGACGAATGCTTAAGAACTCTCTTTTTCTTGGGTTTGCGTCATCCAATTTCATAGGTATTTCTGTGTGGAATCCATACTCACCATAAGGGAATAGTAGCGGGTATTGCAAGCTCATATACAGTGGGTGATCATCTCTGATTTCTTGTAGATGACCTGATTGCAACTGCAGGATGACATCTCTTTCCCCAATGGTAGTAGACATGTCACCAACAATTAGACCGGAGACCTCATTGGTTTCGGGTGTGTCATATTGCTTTCCTTTTCCTTTCTGTGAGATTAATCGGATTGTGAATTCTTCTCCGCTGTTAGACTCGAAGATATCACGTGCTCTCCGAAAAATCTTGGCAAGACAATTGTGTGCATCGATCATCTGAATTAGATGGGTTACTGTTGCCTCATCTAGTTTTCCATCTGTTGCATTTTGGGTTATTGCGTTTATGCGGTTCCTGACTTCATTTTTAGTGTCAAAGATGTAAAGCTGGAGGTATTTGGGTGGTTGACCTGGCATTGGCAGAAGGGAGCCTATGCGGTGATAGTTTTGACCTTGAATTCTAAATGTGAATGGGCCTGGTCTGTATACGACGCTGTAATCAATTTTCGCTCCAATGGATGTGAATGCCAAAATAGCGTTGTATATTCGAATTGCTTCTCGAAACCAGGGACAGTTTAATAGGTCTTCAAGAACAGGTGGTGGTTGTTTTACTGGCGGAAGTTTTATTTTTCCTTGGTTGCAACAAATTGTGTACGTAAGAGCTCTGGTTTTTCGATCTCTTCCTGTGCTTTCCGAGGCCCAAACTAATGCACCACAAAATGTACAGTCCTGAAGGTTGTTTTCCTCGTTCTTTGAAGTGGTAGCTGTGTTTTAAGATTTTTTCTGTTAGTTATTGTTAATAATATAATAATTTTTTCCAGACGTATTGTTAATAATTCATTTCTGAGCGAGAAACATATATTAATAATAATTTTCCACCACTCTGAAATTTTTTGTAATACTCTTTCATAAATTACATATTATTTGATGTAATATAGTACCTTTGGAGCTATTTTTTGATCTCTGGCGTTCTGATGTCGTAGACGTCATAGTTGAAGCTGTTTGCAATTTTTTTTTTTAAGAGAATGTGTTAATATAGCTTCAAAATAATTGTAATAAATTATTGTAGATACCTTTTAGCTCTTGACTTGCACGTTTAGATAGTAGAATTGCTTTTCTCATTGCTCGCGCGTTTTTGTGTCGAACTACAGAAGAGAAAGTATTGTTATTCTCTAATTTTTATATTTAATGTGGTTGTAGATTTGAAGGTAATTGTATTATACCATAGAGAGCACATATATCACATCCACCTGAAAGAGTTGTATATATTTTTGATTAAATAAGGTATTGAAATTTTGACTTATATATTAAATAGATATTTGCGTATTGTATGTAGCATAATTATACTACGAAGAAGTACTCACAATTGTATAGGTTTGATGCAGATGGGGATCCTTCACATATGCTCCTCACTTGGCCTGTGTAAAATTTGAATTTGTAATCTATATTATGAGTACGATCTGTTTTTAGTTTAAGTATCCATTCAGTTTCGGGTGATTGTGGTTGTCTATTTTTTAATTTGGCATAAATAAGATTGAATATTGGTTTTTTTTTTTCGGAACCGATTAGACTTTAAGAGTTGACTCAGACAATGTTGTGTTAAATACCTTTAGGTTGATTGTATGATCCTGAAAGGCGTCCTCGTTTCCGTGGTTGATTACCGACTCTTGAGGATTCTGGGATGTTGTAGATGTTAGTTTCATGTATTTGTGTTGTGTGTATAAGAAATGGTGTGTGCTATTGTTTTGCATTGTTGTTTTAATTGATGTCGTCCTCTAGATATGTGATAGATTTCTCGTTCAAACCCGATTTCAATCCTGTTTGTGGAATTTTCTTCTAAAAGATTGTAAGTTGTAACCAACGTTTATATAGTAATTGAATTACATCTTACAATTTATTTATAGTAGTTCTTTTGTTTGTGAAGTTTTCTTAGACATATTATTTTTTCAGTTTATATTAATGAAAATAAAATATAATATTACTTTTCAAACAAAAAAAAAATATATATTAACTATAAAAGGCGATTTGCCCCCAACTAATAATTTTTTTTTTGCTTATTAAATTATGTCTTCCACTAAATTTTTTTTAGATCCGCCACTATCTTCCACCATTGCAATTTTGGGGGACTTACCTGCAGTATTAATAGTTTCAGTGTGTGATTTGTTTCGAGAACCAGGTGGCCGTCCTCTTCTCTGCGGTTGTGGTAAGTCGTTTGATGGATCTGAAATTCAAAAAAAATGAATGGAAGGTTGGGGTGTCTTTTTTGATATCTATAAGAGGTTGAGTGAATTCACCCTTAGTTTCCTGTTTGTGGTTATGATGATGTGGTTTACGCATGGCAGTGGATTTGATCCTCACTGTGATTAATTGTTAGCAACCTGTTTGTTTGGGAAGACATATCATTTGTATTAGTATGGTTTTTGGTCAAACATGCGAGCAGAGAATATTATATTTGTATACCCATAAACAAACATTTTATCCTCCTCCTTGACCTTATTTTTTTAGATGATGTAACTTTGGACGCCGTTAGAGTTGAAAATAATGCCCTTAATTGATTTTTTCTGTCGAGTTTCGATTTTGTTTAAACTTAAGATCGATTTTTTCCTAAAAAAAGAAGTTTGATTTTTTCAACCTTAAAATCGGTTTTTAAAAAATCTTATAAGCAGTTTTGAACGCTTATAATATTTTTTTAAAGAAAATATTGAACTATAATGAAGCCCAATTGTAACCTGTCATGTGGTATGAGACAAATTAGGGGATAATGTGTTTTATTTATAGTGTAATTTTTCCTTCTAATTTTTGTAACTTTGTCGATGTGGGACATTATTTATTCACATTTTAGGGGTTAAAAATTTGGTCTTTCTTGCTGGCCCAAGAAGTCATGATTTTGTGGATCCCCCTAAATCTTTAGATTCTTTTATATATCCAGTTTTATAAGTTGATAACGCTTAAAAATAGGATTGGAAGTGAATCTCCAAATCAATGATTGGTGGCGTTTTAGGGTGATATTTGGGATCCTTTTTTAAAAAAGAATCACAGAGATAGTGTTGGAATGGTAATACATTTCGTTCTTCTGGTGACTAAATTTATTAAGGAATTTAATATTTAAGTTAGTGGATCCCTAACTTGACGCTCTCGTAATGGTTTTAAACAGATACAAACGTTTAAAATAATAATTGATAAATCAAAAATCGGATTAGCTATATATTAAATATATTTCCTGCAATCATGATGGGAAACCTTTTATCAAAATCATGGAACGCAGATAGATATACATCCATCATAAAAAAGTCATAGAGAGTTTTAATCGTTAGTTTAAATTCATATAATTACGCAAAATTTTTAAAAATAAATTAAAAATCGATATATAACTGAAGGAGAAGAAGAAAACAGGTCCTGTGCGGACATTGATATTCAGATTAATATAACTATAAGAAAGTGCACGTAATTATTTTTGGGAATTTATGGTGTTGGTTCCTCGTATTTAGTATTCTTCCGGGGACGCTTGTTTTCATCGGTTTCTTCACTGCCAAGGCTAGTCTTTTTGTTCTTCCCTTGTGTTTTCTCTTCGCTGGAGGCAATGGTGTTGGTGCTAGTTGCCATGTCACCCATCTGGAGGTCCCACTTAGTGCTCTTAGTCCGTGGTAGTGTGTCGCTGTTTTTGTCTTCAAGCTCCGCTCTTGTATTTGGTGAAGGCATTTTGGGGAGATCAGCTGGCTGGACAATCTTAGTCACAGTGATAGTTTGCCTAGCAGCACTGAAGTTGTATTCATCCACTTTGACCTTGAATATGTATGTCTTGGCAATTGCACCATTCAAGCTTTCTGGGAGTGGTATGTTATCTCCAGCACCGCCAACCCCAACAGCCTGCAAAAAAAGAGGTAGATGCAGTCTGTTGATGTTTCTTATTTACTTTGGATTAAGAAATGAAGTTACTTACGTCGACGTAGTCTTCAACTATCTCTGCAGCTTTTCTCCCAATTAGCTGAGTTCCAGCATCATCGAGGAGAACGAACGTGGCTTTGTTGTCATTGTCGGAGACGGATATCTCGACCTGATACCTGTGTCTCAAAATAGCAATATGAATACATTTAACAAATTATAGTAAGTGTGAATCTACAGTACGTACTTGATTACTCCAATAGGATTGTGGTTGTTGCATGTGTTGCACACTAATGAAGTAGGTCCTCGGATTGCTTTTGTGTTGCATGTAGTGCAGGCAATGTAGTACCAGCTTTTAAGTTGTTCCACAGCATCAATGGTTGCTACGCAATGGAAGTTTGCCTTCTGTTATATTTAAATGAGGAGAAGTTAGTATGAGAGTACGGCATTGGTGAACTTGTTGTAGCCGAGTGATGCTGCCGCCATGTCAGAATGTAAAGAATGGAAGCTATAAAGCCTCAAAGACTTAGTGGTCTAGTGGTGGTTTAAAACTGAATAGACATTTGAGATCCTGGGAGATATATAATATGAACGTGGTATTTGCTTAACGCTATTAACATTGGTGATGGTGGATTAATAACTAACGTCTATTCTTTTCTAATTAAACTAATTGTTGTTGGTCCGAGATATGAAAATACCTGGGCTGTTTTTTTTTGCAGGAACTGGAAAATTTCACCAATAGTGAGAGTTTCAACCTTGGTGATCTCAGATGCATCAACGCTGACGTTGTTAGCATTATCACGTAGCCTGGAATTGTAGTCAGTGTTTTAGTAAATTTGAAAGTGGACGGAGATAATTAAAATTAGGGATAACTGGAGCATACCGAGTTAGGTATTCAGTGGTCTGCTCGACATCAGCGTCGAAGAATACTCTCGAAGAGGACATAGAGGTTAAACACATTTTTCCTGCAGCTTTTTTCATGATACAGTTGAGTGGATGTCTGTTTTTAAGGTGTGAGTTGTAATAGAACCTTTTTTAAACGCATGAACTCTAACCTCCAAGTGTCTTAGGGTTGACTGTGGTCACCAAAAGTACAACAGGAGGTGTCTTGCTTGCTTGAATTTTCTTGCGGAACTCAGCGGCGGTGTTGTCCCAGAGGTAGATGTTGACAATTGGTCCTCTGCACATAAATATATAGCAGCATTAAATACATGTCACTAAAATAGTTTCTGACAAGGTTTGCTCTTAGTTTCTGACAATTTGTTGTTCATAGATTTGTACTACATATTAGAGGTTTCGATGGCAAGAAGATTATAGAAATTAGATTACTCTCTAGGCTGCAGGTGGACTGATACTCCCCTCTTTTGGTTGCCCTCAGATTCTAAAACTGGGTGGTCGTGAAGATTCTGGCCATTAATGAGCTTTAGGTGGCCGATAATATCTGCACATGTCAAGATGGTCATCATATTGTTATCGGAGATGCTGTGAAGACATTAGGTTAGATAGTTATGTTTGTTTGTTATAAAGAATACCGTATAAATCGCCCTTTTTGTCTGCATTGGCGTCAAATTCTTCGAATGTATGAAAACGGAAACGGTGGACGTCAATTGCTAGACTTTGCTGCGGGTGTTGAGTGAGGATGCTTAAGTCGGTGAAGCAGATTGTGAATTTGTGGTCTGTGACTCTGAACATTGTTTTATTAGGAGTAGCAAAGAAATTGGTGAGCCTGTAGATGATGTTTGGTTTGAGTTTGCCTTCATAGCGTGCAATTCTGTTGGGTGCAATGAACCCTTGAATGACGGTTCCCTGGGTGAGTTTGAAAATAACAATTATGAGTTAGTGTACGGAGATCGGGATGGCGTTCTTTGATTAGCTATAATTTGAGGGGGAAAATGACAACAGGAGATGGAGACGACCGTAGATATACGAACTAAGAGAGTCGTAACAGTGTTAAGTATTCATGATTCTATAAAATAGACCATACCTGTTCGTCAATCAGTAGCACCTCCAGACCCATGAGCAAGCCACCTTTTGTAGGGTTTCTAGCTTCCCAGAGGTGGATGACTCTGAAAGTGAGTTCGTCCTTGGTTAGACCGGATTCAACGTCATTGAAGAGCAGTTTTCGGTGGACCGGTGCGGGGACCTTTGAAGCAGAGGCTGCCATAGCTGCTGTGATAGTAGATATATGCTATGTGCGGCCAATTTCGGTGTTCTTTCGTCGAAATGAGCGAAGACTATATAAAGAGCATTGAGGTGTGGTGGCGTTTCAGAATTTATTAGAAAGGGGTTGTGTTTCATATTCCACATCGTGGTTAATTACAATAGGAGATCGTGGTTTGTGGGAGGGAGAGGAATCGTTTCCGGAGTTCTTGAATTTCAAATGGGAAGGAGGGGAATCATTACTGGGTTGATTTTCTTTCTGTAATTTGAGGTTATGGATGCGACGAAGAATGTAGAAGACAATTGCAGATGAATTAGGTTTTTTCTGTGGGCTGGTTTCTCAATCTGTTGTGGGTTTGTCGATTAAACTTTCTGTTACCATATTGGGCTTTTGTCTATCCACCTTTTCAGTATTACAATAATTTTAGAAAACAATATTTGCGTTTGCGTGAATCATTGACTTTTGCGTTTTGTATTTTTTTTTTGATGACATGGTTTGCTGTGATTGGTTAAATATAAATCTGATTATTTTTTGCTGACGTAGACAGTTTTAGAAGTCTCCAAAATAATCCCTTTTATATAAAGGAGATTTCTCAATTTCTCTTATATAACAAACATACATAGTATATAAAAAATACATATCTCACTTCATATATTAAGTTATAGTTTATAACAGTTTTTAAAATTATGATTTTCCATTAATAATATTTGATTTTTTCTATTTCATTAACTTTGAATTTTATGATAATTTACATTTTTTGTTTTGTTTAGTAACATTACTTTTTAGATTAAGAATCAATTATTTTTTAATATATTTTTAATTATTTTGAATTTATATGTTTTATTTTTTTCTTTTTTTCAATAAATTTACTTTTTTAAATTAGAAATTATTTGTCTATTTTGCTTTTATCGTTAATATTACATATCAAAATCTGATTTACACATGTTAGGATCAGATGAATTAACAATTTTAATTTATTTTTTTATATATAAAGGATTATACTTTTGTTAAATTGTGTTATTTAAGTAAAATATGGTTAGGTCGGTTTTTCAAAAATATTAATCCTTTTTTTTATAAGCCATTGATTTTGGGATCGTCTAGCCTAACCACAAAACAGTGGGCCAACTACTGCTTAGCAGCTGTTTAGGCGACCGATTTTTTAAGGCTTTGACTCATGGTCGACACATGTCAACAATTCGCACCACCTTACCAATGGAGATGACGTGGCAAAATTACAACCATGTTTTACTTGGTTCCGCTTTTAGCCCTTCAGCCTCTACACGTAAACCGACGAAACTCTACAAATTTTTCGAACTTCTTCCTTCAACTTTTCTCTACGATCAACAAATCTACATTCTCCGGCGTTGTTCGATTCAGTGATCGCCGTTGTTTACCAATGGCCGGAAAACTCATGCACGCTCTTCAGTACGAGTCTTACGGCGGTGGCGCCGCCGCTTTGAAGGTAAAATTCTCTTTCTCAATGTCCGTCGTGGTCCTCACATTCCCTTGAGCTGCTGTGTTATTCTTTAATTAAATTATCTTGGTTGTTGATTCTGTCTCGATTTTAGAGAATTTTTTTGCCTCAATTTGTTAAAATCCAGTGGGATGAATAGTATACGAACAGACCGATTCGTGAGAAAGTGAGGGATGATTAAAACCCCATTTTATCATCCTCTTTGTTTCTATAAACCCGAATTGATCGCAGGGGCCATTAGATTTTATCATTTATCTTTCTCATTTATATTGAGAAAAGTAGCTACTAAATGTTGGATTGACCTTGTAAGTTCGATCTCTTTGTTATGGAAATACATGAAAAAGTCATTTAGTAGAAGATTTTTGTATCTTATACTGCAATGGAAGAAATTAGAAAAAGAAAAATAACATTGTTGATGAAGTGGATGAGCTGGTATATGTTAGATGATATTATTGGTCATAATTTTGTAATTTGGATGACATTTGGTAGTGGAAATGGAAGTTCACCTTAAAGAGTCACTGATTAAGATCATTATCTGAAGAGATTTTTTTCTAATGTGTGCATTTGTTTATGATTTAAAGGCAACAACACTATCTGTTGGTGACTTTCCTTTTTTCGTTTGTGATGGCATTCTCAAGATCACTTTTTGATGATTTGTACGTGCTTATCTGATGTGTTCTCTCAGCATGTCCAAGTTCCAGTTCCATCGCCAATGAGCAACGAAGTTTTACTAAAACTAGAAGCTACTAGTTTAAACCCTGTTGATTGGAAAATTCAAAAAGGAATGATCCGGCCGTTTCTGCCCCGCAAGTTCCCCTGTATTCCTGGTACTTTAATAGAGTAATAGCTTTGTTGAATATCTCGTTTTTTATTTCGGCCTATTCGGTACTTTTCTAAGCAAATGGAGGATAATTTTCAAGTGATCAAGTTATTACTGAGTAGGAAAAAGGTTCCTTTCCTTTGATTTATTGGGTTTGGGTGTAATTTTTCTTGTGTGTTCCTACTTCATAGACCTATAGGTTTTCTAAAAGTTGGCGGTGACCTTTGTTATTTGTCTTGAACAGCTACTGATGTTGCTGGAGAGGTCATGGAAGTTGGATCAGGAGTTAAGAATTTCAAGGCTGGTGACAAAGTTGTATCGGTTCTCAGCCATCTAGTAATGATCTTAAAGACAATCCACTGTTATTACAGTTATTGTGGTTACACCAATAAAATTGGAACATGAACTGTTTTTGGTTTGTTTTCAGACCGGAGGTGGACTTGCTGAGTTTGCAGTTGCGAGCGAGAAGCTGACTGTAAGAAGACCCGAAGAAGTAGGACCAGCTGAAGCAGCCTCTTTACCTGTGGCGGGTCTAACAGCACTCCAGGCTCTAACTAATCCCGCTGGGTTGAAACTGGATGGTACAGGCCACCAGGCCAACATCCTGGTCACAGCAGCATCAGGTGGAGTCGGCCACTATGCTGTCCAGCTGGCAAAGCTTGGTAATGCTCATGTAACCGCCACATGTGGGGCTCGGAACATAGACTTTGTAAAATCTTTAGGAGCGGACGAGGTTCTAGACTACAAGACTCCAGAGGGAGCCGCCCTCAAGAGTCCGTCGGGTAAGAAATACGACGCTGTGATCCATTGCGCAAATGGAATACCGTTTTCGACATTCGAACCAAATTTAGCCGCAAACGGGAAGGTCATAGATATAACGCCAGGGCCTAGTGCGATGTGGACTTATGCTGTTAAGAAAATAACCATGTCGAAGAAGCAGTTAGTTCCGCTTTTGTTGATCCCGAAAGCTGAGAATTTGGAGTTTATGGTGAATCTAGTGAAAGAAGGGAAAGTGAAGACTGTGATTGACTCGAAGCATCCTTTGAGCAAAGCAGAGGAAGCTTGGGCCAAAAGTATCGATGGTCATGCTACTGGGAAGATTATTGTCCAGCCGTGATAGCATTTTGGTTTTGCACGTTGTTCGACTGCTTTTCTATGATTCTATAATTATAGTTTGTTTCTCGTTTTTACATTACTTTCTTTTGTTTTGTTTAATGTATACGCATACTATCTTACATTGTCACGAGTTATCAATAGACAAGAAAAGCGAATGTGAAGTAAGTTTTTTTTTGTTAGGTATTTGTTGTAGTTGGAAATATAATTGTCAAAATTTGTAAATATTACAAGTAGAAAAATTTAAGGCTCGATCAGAACAAACGAAGAAATACTAAAGGGAGTGGATTTCTGTTTGCATTATATGGTTTTTAAGTCTGAGGTTCTGGCCATTATGTTTTAACACTTTGACGGGATGAGCTCGCTCTGGAGTCTTCGGCTTATTTGACTTTGCTAGCTTTTCAAAGGCCCTCGACTCGTAAGTGGATGATGGATTGATGGTGAAAATGGAGATGACTTTTTTGTTGCTGATTCCACAATAACTCACTAATAAATTAGTTTAAATCTCTGATCACACCTGATTTTTCCTATTTTTATGGATAGTTTTTAATAATTTATGCAGGTGTTTTAACTCTATTATCAATAATTTTTCAATTAATTTTTATGTTTTGGAGTTTTTAAAAAATATTACAGATAATTTGGATCAAAAAGTGTATATTGAACCAAAAATATGTTTTTGGATAAACTTGGACCATGGGGAACTCTTGCAATCGAAGAAGACTCTCCCACCGTCCAATCATCCTCAAATTGGACACAACATATATGAGACTATTGGCTTTTAAATGCAGTTGGTTTGTACTCATTTCAACAGTTAGATCTCCGAATGTTGCACTGAAGACATATGATAAGCCTTGGAGCAAGGATAAGCCAAGTCAAAGAACTCTGATCTGCGGCTGAGGGAGGTGCACCTGCGGCCAGGAGAGGTGCAGCCATGGCTGATGTGCTACGAGGTGAAGGAACAAGTTTTACTCTTAATAAAAACAAATGAAAGCTGCAAGTGCACAACTAATCAGTTGTAGTACTTAGAGATCGAATCCACCTAGATTTGTGTGCCTAGTATTTTTCTACGGTTTCTAAGTTTGTGTCTAGACTAATTCGGTTTTAAGGAGTTGTTGTTTATCACGGATTAAACTAAAACTAAAAGAAAACGGATAAATCTATCCTAAAAGCAAGTAGAAAATAGAACAAAAGCAAATGAAACAAGCAGAAAATCGAACTAAAGCAAGTGAAAATACAAATCTATGAAAGCTAGTAAATATTGATTGGTTTGTAAACTATGACTAAAAACACTGGACTTTCGGAAACTCTAGAGGGATCATAATTAGTTTCAACACTAGGGATCTAAGATTGGGAATGATGGATATCGAAATATTAGGGTTCTAGAGCTAGAGTTCGGCGGTATGACTACGTCACTGTCGTGATCATAACCAACTATTTTTCGCAATCCTGACCAGTATGTTTCCACTCTAGCCTTGGAAAGGAGAAAATGCAAAAGCTTCACAGGACTCGTCAGTACTCACAACTTCGCCGTAGGTAGGTTTCCACTCCTACAGAAAATCACCTGCTTCATTCTAGGTCGGATACTTAATGAAAACTTTCGCAACACTAACTATCTAGATCAGATACGAGGTGATCAATCAAGCATACATGCATTAAAGATGAGAATAAACAGAGAACATAGTTAAAATTCCAGATCTAAAAACCTAGATGTCTTAATCGTTTATGAGAGCCCCTTTTGGGAACCCTATGCCCAACTCGGGATCTACTCAGCCATGGCTGAGGTCGACATCATCATTGGTTTTGATGAAAGCAATCAAAAACAGTAAAGAAAATAGATGAAAGAAAGATTCTCTATTGCTGAACTCGGAGTTGAAGAATCCTCTCTAAAAATCGCATAAAACGGCTGGGAAAAAAAATTTCTGTAAAAATATGAAAGGTGATCTAAAAACGACATAAATGACAAGTATTTATAGTCTTAAATACTCCAAGGTCTCTATGATTCCGAAATTGAGGCTGGGAAATGACTTGGGCTTCAGAAATGGGCCTCTTAAGTCAGAGATGTCGAGCCGCAGTCACGTGAAGTGTGACCGTGGGGAATGAGGGCTTGGCCGCGATCGCGTGGCTCTGGATGCGGTGTATGGGCTGCTGGCCGCAGTCGCATGGCTTGCCGGCTGTCTTCGAATGTCTCCGGGATAAATGGAATATCTTGAGATCCAACCGTTGGAATATCGCCAAATCAAGTGCATCTGAAATCTGGTTGAGTCTTCTATTAATTTTCCAATTTTGAGGCTGATCAGGCGGTGAGAAGGTCTTCGTCTCTCCATGAGAGTTCTGACGGTCTGAATTTATCCAAAATAGTTTTTTTGTTCCAATTTGCACCTTTTTCTCCCAAATTATCTGAAAAGTCTTTTAAAATCCGAAAACATATAAATCCTAAAACCTTTGTAAATGGAGTAAAAACACCGGCAAAAGATAAAGTGATCCATAAAAATGGTCAAAATCCGGTGTTATCAACTCCCCCAGACTTAGAATTTTGTTTGTTCTCAAACAAAACAAAGACCAAATCTTGGTGAGAGGTTTGAAAACGCAGGAACTAACAAAATATCAGAGACCAAACTTCTAAACTAATATCAATTATTATGCATCAATCGGAAATAGCCTAGAAAATTCTCAATAAAAATACGGGCATAACTAATCCGTTAATCCGTCATGCGGAAATCTATTTGCACTTAAATTTAACTTCCAGTCAATTAGCTCTTAACATTCATTAAATTTTTTTGGTGGTTCTCATCAAAGAAAGTATAAGCAAGGCAATCTAAGCTAGGTATCTAAAGAGATCATTCTAAGGGTGAGGCTCAAAGTGTTTCTGGGTTACCTGAAAATCTGGAGGATGCAAGATATTATGCAAAACCGTAAGAGATAGTGAACCTGTTGATGTCCACAGTTTTCAGTCACTTTCTTCTTGCCATAAATCTCTGGTCTTCTTCCTCAGGTTCTCTCCTAACTTCCCCAGACTTAGATTTTTGTCCAATTTTCAGAACCATAGCTTCATAGATGAATAGTGGTTGCCTTTGCTCCAAATAATTTTGACAATCTAAGACTCATTAGGTTTTTTGTTTCCTTTCCTTTCATTTTTTTTTTTGAAAGAAGAAACACCTTTAGATATAGAGTCATAGAAAGCATGAAATTACCAATAAGAATGAGTTCTCTGAGACAATATAAAGCTTAATAAGGTTTCTGAATATCTTCTTTCCCAATTCCATTCTCTTGAGTGACTGAAAATTGCGTCGTTCCTCTTCTCTCCGACGTTTTTGCACATATCTGCTGATATAAACTAAAAAGAGAATGCATGAGTTTTGAAAAACGAGGGATTTGGGTTAAGGGTATGGTACCAGATAAAGATGAATTGGCCATCTAGGACGCCAAAAAGTGGTAAAAATGAGGAAAAAGATGTCCTAGATGTATATCTCGATGCCTGCTTATAATCAATGATGAGAAAATTAGATATCAATATTAAGGTCAAATAAGAGCTAGTATATCCTATCAGAAAGAATCTCCATGAATAGAAGTCCTCTGGTGGGAGTTCGTAGCGCAAGTACTTTAGCTACCGCCTAGTCTAGTGCTAACCACGAATAAGCTATCATGCGTAGTGTAGAAGCGTGTAGATCTAAATCATCACAGTTTTGTGTCAAAAATTCCTAAAAAATACTAAAGGTCGCATATGTTACATATTAAAATTTAAAAAGTACTTGAAATTGAAAAACAAAGCAAGAAAATGATTAGTACGGATAGACATCCTCCCCCAGACTTAAATCACACTATCCCCAGTGTAAAAAAGTTGGTGAGAAGATGGTGAATAAAAGCAAGATATTCTAAAAATAAAATAAATGATAATGATGATAGAACCGTGATGGTGGTGAAATGACGATGAAGTGCTGATCGATCAATCTTCCTCTGATGTGTCTGCCTCAAATTAGTTCTGCTCCTGGATGAAAGTGACGACGCGCTCAAAATGTCGTCCCTGCCTCTCAACTCTGCGCTCCAGGTCAGACTGTGTGCGTGTAGATGATGAAGTATGGTCGGTGAAAACTGATGGCTGATAGGGATAACGTGCTGCAGCCGCGTCACCCTTGGCCTTAGCCACTATGTATTCCCCGATAGTGAGTGGCAGGCGAGGTACAAAAGGTAAAAACTCATCAGGTCCCGGAGTCCATTGTGGACGTGCTCCGTTACACAGTATCGGGACAGATGCTGAGGGTAAACAAACTAGGTGCTCCTCGGTACCAGTGCAATACTTGTAACCGAACCTGTCTGGATCGAAAATTGCACGAGAGATAGTGTGATCGCGAGAGAGATGATGCGGGTTGTAAATGGGGTTTGTTGTTTTCGTTTTACTAAGCTTCAGGTTTTAAATTTATAACCCCTAAATGTCTGCAAGTGCACAGATGTGCGCTGTAGTACTTAGGGTATCGATCCACAGAGACTTAGTTGTTTCAGTACGAATTCACTGCAACGCTTAAATCAGATTAGAACTAAAAGGGTTTTGGTTTTGGGTTTTTGGTTGTCACTAAAATTAAACTAGAAAGCTAAGCAAGTAAAAGCAATTAAAAGAAAACAAAAGCAAGTAAAACAAGTAGTAAGCGATTTAAACAAAAGCGATTGGAAGCAAGTAATAAGCAAATGAAAAGCAGAATGGAAATCTAAGGTTGTAAGCAATTAAAGACAAACGTTGGGGCTCAAGGGGTATTCGCAGGGGGTTCATGGTCTATGCTAGGTCGATTTTAAACAAGTGATAAAGGTAATCAACTACGTATATTCTAGAACTCGAGGCACGGAAGTATGAATAGCCTACTCTCGCAGCACTAAACAACTATCTCTCGCAACCCTAATCAGTAGGTTTCCACTCTGATTCTGGAAGGGAGAAGATGCAATAGCAGAATAAGACTCATCAACATTCACAACTCAACTACAGGTAGGTTTCCACTCCTATAGAAGAATTGCTCGTTTCACCCTAGTTCAGACAATCAATGAAAGCTTTCGCAACATATCATATCAGATCAGCTTCTAAGTGGCCAGCAAAGAATCACGCAGTAAGATTAAAGGCAAACGAAGAACATCTAGAAGATTAATAATCCTAAATCTATCGATTCATAAGCAAAGACACATGAAATTCCCTTTGAAC